GGGGGGGGGGGGGGGAGGGTGAATGATTGATGAATGGCCGTGTACAGCGGAAAAGTGTTTTGTTTTGTGTGTGTTTTTGTCGATTTCGCTGTAATTTTATCATTTACAGGTTGGTTTTTTTTCCCCGTCCGACGATGGAACCTTCGCATACGATTCTTTTGGTTCAGCCGGTGGCACGCGTGGAATCACGAACTTGGTCCGATTATGAGACAACAGAAGACTGCATCGAAGGTATTTTTTTTTCCCCGTTATCAAACTAGCTGGAGCTGTTATATTACTGAAATGTACCCATATCTACACGCCGATCATTAGCTATTGCTAAGCCCTTCCTCTACGTTCCACGACATTAACTTGTTTCCGCTTCTTTTGTTGTATCGAAAGCCAATACCCTTTCCCTCGTGAAAATTGGAACTACCTTGGAAGTATTCGGAAAATAGTGTAAGCGACCAGACTCGTCCCTCGACTGTAAATGAAAATATTTAAACCATCACAAAAATCCGTTTTGATTAATGCGGCTGTTAACGGGTGGGGCACTCGCATGGCCACCAGATGTCCCGAGAAGCAACATCGGTCATTTGTGACGGCGCCAGACCTCCTTGTTTGCGATACCTGGGCTTTGTCTGGGTCTTGTTTGTTACCACTGCGGATCAGCATCTGTGATCGGGCAGGTGTGGCTACTGTTTGTTATACAAGCAAGCCGTAGCTCGGTATGAATGAGTCAACGTCGACGCAGCAGCGTGTCTTAGTTCCCTCTTGGCTCCATACACACACACACACGCACACACACACACGTCTTCACACACCTGACACCCCGCGTACAAAGCGCTGACATTCGTTCTCATCCACGGCACAGCACAGACACTCTGGGCCCGTATCACATACACTCCCTGTGACTTAAACAGACATTTCCGATCCTTGCTCCTCTTCACTCGTCTCCCCTCCCCCTTCACCAATCCACCATCACCACAGTCATCGCAATCGCACTTCCTCTTTCCTCTCTTAACCCGGCCGCAGCTGACCCAGGAATAAGTTCAGACTTTTTAAACCCGATCTTTGTGAGTATTTTATGCAACTTGCATAATTTTTTTTCAGGAATTTGTAAGATTTTCGAAGAACACTTGAAAAAGCACAATCCGAATACGGCATCCATCACGTACGATGTTCAGAATTTATTCGATTTCATTGATCGTTTGACGGATCTGTCATGTTTGGTCTGGGATAGTTCGACAAACACTTATGCGCCACATAATAAAGAATGGATCAAACAAGAGATTTATACGCTGCTCCGAAAACAGGCTTCCATGTGATCTGTTCTTAATAGATGTAATAGGGCACTGACTGGGGAACAAGTGTTTGTGTTAGTTTTGATGGGTTTTTTTTTGATCATTGCGGGTCTCTATGTAGGTTTTTTTTGTTACCAAAATCCTTGCGCGGATGTTTTTGAGAATATCTGGATTACCTGGAATGCCTGGATTTTCCACCTGTGCCGCTGGATACTTAGATTTTCCATCTGTGCATCTGGTGGCAACTTCTCGAATAACTTTAGCCATTGCTGTTTCGCCTGGTGGTTATTGTGCTCGCGATTTTGACGTTTATTTTATCGGTCCATGGGATTATTAGCTCAGTCATTTTCTGAGGGTAAAGCACCTAGCACTTTTGGGGGTATCCTGAATGTGTTGAGCATCATCATCCCGTTCCAGATACTACCATTTATGTACCGTAACGAGGTATTATACTGTACTGACTAGGTGCATCTAAAGAAAAAAGTTGAGGAAAAAAAGTAATTGCCTTTTTTTGCATGAAGTGCATCTTTCGTTCTGGTAACCTTGCTCTACCGTTTTCCTGCCTGCACGATTTTCCCGAAAAGTTGAGTGCTGTATTGAATGAAACAATCTGTTCCATCTCAGTTGTTCTGGTTTATTTTAAATTAGCGTTTTCTTTCATATCCATGCATTCTCGGCGATCTGATGCTATGATGTAGCACATCTGTATGCCTCAAGTGATGTACGATTTCTGGGATCCTTTTCACATTTCTTTTGTTATGGCTCGTCCGTGTTCGTAGATCCAGCCAGGGCGTCATCACTCCCATATTTGTAGTGCAAGCCATGAAATACTGGCTTAGTCTGTTTGCATTGTGACTCCCTCCTCCTTCAGTTGCATGTGTCGTTTTTATGACTCGTTTATCGTTTTCTTTTTTGTTTTCTCCTTTTCATAATTTATTGTTTCTCACTGTAAATTTCCATTTCTTTTTTGTTTTGGAAAATCTCAAAATAAACGTATGGTCACAATGTTTCCGGAACATGCCGAAAATTTACGTATTCATGTGATGTATCCAAATTATGTAGTGCGTGCCGGGAGTCCAAAGTTGGACCGACTGTCTGTCAGTTCTACTGATTATTTGGATACTGAAATTGCTTAGTACACTGGGGCGGAGGCCATTTTCGATTACCATTTCGAGGTGTTCTGGATGAATTAGCTATCGATTTTAAACAATGGTTCGATGAGTGTCTTTGCTTCTCTAAAATAAGGGAGGTTTTTGTGTATTTTCAATACTAAAATACGGTTTATGTGGGTGTCCAGTGTTAGTGATATTACTGAAAAATATCAGTTAGATGGAGAAATACTATTTAAAAATATCACTCATTTAGGTTATTGTCGGTGGGTATCCAGGATTTAAAAAAAAAGGCTATCTTAGTTTGGCTGAACTGCCACTTTGAGGACAAAACAATACATTTTTCTTGACAAGTAAGCTTCCTGTCTCTTCATGCAGTTAAGATCCAGATTCCACACTTAGATTGAACTTATCCACACGATATACGGCTGCTTATCCAGTCTTGACAGGTGGCTCCTCTTTGTTACAAAAATATTTCCGTGGCATCCTTTTGATATTTTTCAAAATAAGTTGAAAGATTCTACAGTATACGGTTGTAATACTGTATGGAGTGTCTTCTACTTTTCCCTAATCACATTTGCGTGAATCCTCTTCATTGCTTTTCTGAGCAATATTCGTTAAGGTGCTGTTGAGAACAAACACAATGAAAACCCAAAAATTGAAGCAAAATTTCTTCAGCTCTGACTAACTGTTCAGAAAAACATCACTGGATCTCAAAAAACAACCAAAATTTATTTACTGTTTACCAAAAATCAAAATTTTTGAAAGGCAGAGAGGTAGTTTACGAAATAATAGAACACTTCGGTGTTTTGTTCCGTGGCATTTCATAGGCTTATTCTTCATTTGTTTAGGTTACAACTATTTTCATTTGCTTTGACAATGCTGTATAGCCTGGTGGCCAGCCTGTTGCTAATTCTGACTTCAGGCTAATTTCTACTAATGAGTAGACGAAAAAACTGATTAATAAAACAAAGCATAACAAAGAACGCTAACTCATAATGATAAATTTGTGCAGTACTGCGAACGTTAAACATCCAGGACAAAACACTGTCTTCCCGATATGCTTGGAACTAACAAGGTTTCTATTTCGCCGTATCTCGACGCTGTTTAGTCCGGTGTTAGCAGCACGATGAGATTCCTGGTCAGAACTGTATACCAGGCTTATGCGGTAACCTAATAGTTTTTTAGGGTTTCAAAAAATAGCACTTATTGCAAAAAACGCAACAAGTTGCTAATCTTGCCAACAGCCGATGGACATGGTGCGCCAATGAATGATATTGCGAGGAAGAAGGCAACTATTCGGACAGCTTTCGGGGAAGTAGAAGGGGTGGAGGACGGGATGGGAAGGGTTGGAAGAAGCGCATATATATCGTACAAACGGCGGGTACTAACTGGAAGTATGCGGTCCAAAATCGAAGAACCTGACACAGCTGTGTTCGGCGTGTGAGTGCTAACACTGGATTCTCACAATGACTGTTGCTCGGACGGTTTTGGTATTCTTGATTTTAGACCGCACATTATAACTCTTTAAACTAACGACACTTGTTTGGAGGGGGAAACATAAAAGAGAGCTAAACAATGCAACATAGCGCTATTCATTCATTCATTTACGCACAACACAATATAACCTCTTACGCTAACGGCTATTACATGAAGAGGGAAGCATGTAAGGAGGCAAACATAAGTAGTTTAAAAGTTAACATGGGCAGTTCAGTGTAGAAGAAAACCTGAAAAACGCAAACTTGAATAAAAAAGCAGCACAGGCTGAGCTCACAGTTATCCTTGTACTTGCTTTGATACTTTTTGATCAGCTACGTTATGCATTTGGTAACTTTTCCAGTTGCTCTGACCAAATGTTGCACTGTCTTGCGGTCGACGCATTGCTGACGATATTGAGGCTCATTCATACAATCATGCTTCCTGTCGAAAATCCAGTTTTTTTTTTTTTTTT